TACTCATTTTAAAGCTCAACGATGACCTCAAGAGATCTGATACTTAACAAAATGATGAAAGGAACAGTATGCCAAATGAATTGTAAATAACAAACATCAGCCAAATTATGATATAACCAAGTTGATGATTTACCTAATTCTTGGAACTCTTAGAATATGAGAAATCTTTATACTTTTTTAAAGGCTTCCTGGTGGTCTAATATGTAGAGTATATTAAAATAACTACTTCAAAATAATCAATATTTATTCAATCAGATGATATTAATGATAAGACTCTACAATTATAATGTGGAGTACTCCCAGTCATAATTAAAATAGAATGGTTTATAGGTCTAGTATTCAGAACCATTAATAAAACTAGTATTCAGGCATGCAGAATAATATAGAATTATTAAAGTATATGAAAACTGCCTCAAAAAGTTATGTTTGGTGTCTCAAAGGTATAGTTTCTTGAGATTATGAAGAATTTTTAGAGCTTTGAAAAATCAGCTAATACCATAGTTAGCATAAATTATGCTCTATTTTGTTGATATGGCAGCTCAGGCTGAGGCCAATAGTGGTACTGCTAAAGTCTAAGGGACCTTAAATTTGGGGAAAAGTAAATGTATCTTTAAAAAGGGGATAAATGGACATCATAAGTTAGTGAACACTATGTAGTTTTACAACACTTATCAATTATATTTAATTTCTGCTTTTTAGAGATTGCTTAAAAATACTATACTTTCATAAGCTTTCCCTTTTCTAATAATAGAGCAAGATTAGCAGACATTCCTGATGAAGTGGTAACCATGGTTTCTCTCAAATCTACAACAGACTTTGTAAATCTAGTCTACAAGAAACCCACTTAAATCCGGCAGATACGACTCCTGAAGATATTAATTAACTATAACAAATATTCATGATAAAGACTCATCACACGTGAAAGACGATTTTAAAACAAACTTACCACAGTTGGAAGTAAAACTACAAACGACTGAACCCGACAGCATTTTATGCCACAAAGTGTACACAAATTAAATGTTTCTTAAAAAAAAAAAAATCAGATAAAAAAACCAATATAATTCCAAAATGACAAGGCATTTATAAGTTAGAAAGCAGATATGTTATTTTTACTCTATCTCTTCTTGCAAAGATAAAGTTATACTCTTGAATAAAATACTTCAAAGCACTTTATAGTCATAGTTTTACTTACCACAATTCAATGTTTACTCAGAACATTAGCATTTAATAGGGATAAATCAATGTTTATTAATACGTTTTTTACTCACTTATTACAGTATAACAAGCTTTAAAACATAATCTCATTTACTTGCAATCACCACAGCTCTCAATGACTAATTTTGAGTAATTCCCAAGCTAAAAAAAAATTATGGCACAATAGCAATACACTATGTGGTATTACTAATTTTTTAAAAAACCATTTTTTATTAAAGCAAAAAATAAAGAAGAGATATTTAAAAGAAAGAAATTTGGGCAAAAGTAGTCAACGGGAAGACCACTGGAATAGCAAATTATCACTGGTTATTATTATTTACATAAACATTATAAAGATTACATGTAGAAAAAAGGTAATTTTATTAGAAAACATATGTATGTCCATTACAAATAAATGGACTCCATTGTTCATCTTTTCACATTAGCATGGAATATTAATTTTGGAATAGAGACTGAACTACTTTTCAGTTTCCAAATTGTTTCCTATTTAAATGATTTCTCTGACTAGTTGAGAGTGTGGGGTCAACTTGGTCTATTCCTCAGAAAGTTTATTTCCTACCATAAAAACAATTTAGGTCACCTAAGATCAAATGAAAAGATGTAGCTGTACAGAATATTTGAAAAGCAAATGGTGAGATTTAGGCTGAGTCATGGAGATTTACCCAACATCTTTTAAGTTAAACTACCTTTCAACCACCAGGTACGACAAAAATCAGTGAATTATTAGACTATCGTCTAAATCTAAAACTAACAGTTATAAGCAGTTAAACTTCTTATTAGTGAATATCTTCCAATTGGTGCTATTAACATATAAAAATTGAGCTGGATTTAAAAAATATTTAAGTATTACAGTATATCAGGCAATTAAAATGTGTTTTGCTTTGGTTGTACATCAATGCTCTTGGTGGGTAGCTCAACAATACTGCAAATGATAAACAGATGCTCAAGAAACAAATGACATTTTATAGGTACTTACATCTTCACAGATCTCACAGTTTTCGTTTTCAATTTTCAGATATTCCAACATAATGCTTGATGAGTATATAAGGGCTGTCCAGAAAGTAACCAGCCATGTAATATGAATAATTACGAAAAATTATGGCTAGATATGGCCTCTTTAAACTAAAATTTAAACTATTTTCAATAATAAAATAAATACTGCACTCAAATAACTTAATTAAACTTAATAGCTTTATAGCTTTTGATAAATAGCTAAAAATTCCTCCCATTATAACATGGTACAGTAAGAAGCCAGGATGTTATTTATTTTTATTTCACTTTTTAGTCTTTGTGTTTTCTCCATAAGCTATTATTTTCAGCATTCTGTTTTAGTCACAGGAAGGGCAATCACAGGGCATAAAAATGTAAGGAAAATCTCTGTATATTCTACAGCAGGGTGTCAAGCTACTGAGATAATAATCCTCAACAATGGAATTTTCTGACCAGAATACTTACCTCACTAAGGCCTTGTACAGAGTAACTTTTTTTCTTTTTCTTGAGACAGAGTCTCACTCTTGTTGCCTGGGCTAGAGTGCCGTGGCATCAGCCTAGCTCACAGCATCCTCAAACTCCTGGGTTCAAACAATTCTCCTGCCTCAGCCTCCTGAGTAGCCGGGACTACAGGCATGTGCCACCATGCCCGGCTAATTTTTTCTATACATTTTTTTAGTTGTCCAACTACTTTTCCTATCCATTTTATATGATATGGCCTCCACACTGACTATAAGAAAATTATTGAGGAAGATAATTTCCACAGGGTAAAAAGGTATTCAGTATTTGCTTAAACTGAAAATGTCTTTTTTTTCCAATAATAATTTCAAGCAATACCTATCAGAGATATTTAGACCAAGTACATACCAGGCTCACCAAAATTCCCATGCAAGAAAGGATCCCAGATTCATATAATATTAGATTAATAATGGAAAAGCATTCGTGTTGCTTATAAATCAGCCAAATTATGATATAACCAAGTTGATGATTTACCTAATTCTTGGAACTCTTAGAATAGTGTGATTGTATCATATACCAAATAATCAGAACTTTTAATATTTGCATGTACACCGTAATTCTATGCTAGATTCTGTCGCAAAGTAGAATAGCCTGCTATTCAGTCTTACCTGCACATTTGGTTCTGGTGATTAATGGAGGTCCTGGCAGTCCTGTTCCACCTTCGCCAGGTCTCGTAAGCAGGACACGGATCTCATATTCAGTATCTGGATCTAAATGCCATAATTTATAAGTTGGAGCATTGACTGCATGGGTTTCTGTCCAGGATCCTGATGTCATTCGGTACTCTACTTCTTTCAGGATAATGGGACCATCACCGATGATCGAGTTAGCATTTAGTTGAATGAGCAAATATGTAGGCCCAACACCAAGCAGTTGAGGAGGAGCGATGGGTCTTGGCGGTTCTAGGAAAGATGAGTGTGTACTCTGATTAGTGAAAAATCTAAAATGTTATAATACATAGATATATTAATGTCTCACGAAGCCTACATGCTTAATGGACAATTTATGTAGGAGTACATGATAAATACTTAAAAGAAAACCAGGAACACGAATGGTATGGCAACTGTACTTTTAAAAAGCAAATAATTTTGCAGATGGCATGTGACCATTTTACCACAATTTTTTTTTTATTGAAAACATGTCTCTCTCCAGGAGATAAACATTTAAAGGCACAGTAAACAAGGGAAATAGAAAATATTTAGAGATAGATAGCTAGGATTAGCTTTAATTACTCAACAGAGTAGAGTTGATCTTTGACATTTTATTTCATTCATGAAATATGGCCAAGTGGTATTTTTTTTGTTGTTTTGCTTCCTATGCCTTGAGGGTTCCTATAGATAAGAGTAGAAGGAAGGCACAGCAAAACTGCACTCAGAAGCTGAGGCCAGGTGCTGACTTGTCTCCACACACCCACCTCAATTTACACCTAGGCAAAATCATGAATCACTATAGTCACTGACCTTTCAGACTACTATGTGATAAGGCAAGGCATCAAATACTAAACTCAAATGTCAAAGGTATACTGCAATTTAATTTTGGATAGCTTAAGATATTTTTGCTTGAAAGACACTTTGGGACACATTTCAATGTTTAAATTTATAGAAGTGATGAATGATATGTTATAACACTTTTTTTTCCTTAACAACAATGCAACTGAAACAAGATATCAGACTTTACGAAGGACACCCTGGCTACAGCTTCCTCCATGTGGCTGTCCACAGGGAATACTAAGTCACGAAGTTCCCATTAGTACATTTTGATCAGGTGGGGTTTTCTTAGAATTTTTGAACACTTCTCACACTTCTCAAGAAAGTTAAAAGATTTTAAAGCAAAGTGTTAATCTGAATAAGTAGTAATTGCTCAAAAATTGATTTAAATATTTTTTTTAAAGTCAGAGCAAATTACATAAAGGAAAACTATTAAATGCAACCACATAATGCCCTCACACTCCAACACATTCCAGGTGGGGGTGGACTAGAGAAGACACAGATAAAGGAAAGTTAAGAACACACAACCAGTATCTTTCAAATTGGATTTTCTATTTTAATGGCAATGCATTGTATGGAAAAAGATACAATACAAAAAAAGTCCATAAATAGGTTTCACCTTCTTATGCAGGTTTAAATGAAACAAGAATTTTCAGCTGCATCCCAGGATTTTCTTTTTAAGCCTAATTGTATAACAGTACAGTTTCTAGCTTCAAAGCCCCTGAATTACAAACATCCATAACGTAAGGAGTAAGACTAGTTTGCCCAGACCTCTGTTCAGGCTAACATTACTTTCAAGAATATTCCTTCAAAATTCATGACAAATATTTATTGAGTAGCTAACGAACTGCAGGGGTGATATCCATGTAATATTTTAGGGGAGACACAGTAACAATAAACCAACAAATTCATTACTTTAAACTGAGAGTTATATAGGAAACAAACAGAATACTGTGATAAAGACTAGCAGATGTAACACCCATTTTCTTTTTCCTATCCAAAATCCCCTGAAGAATATAATTTACTCCCTTCAAATAATCTCAGCTCATTATGGCAATAGTTTTTAAACTAATTACCAGCAGAACCACATGACCTTGTGATTCACTATGCTCGTGTTTAAAGTGAAAATAAAACTAAGATCAAAGAAGACAGCATATGCTATATAAACTACATACATTTTGAATTATTTCTATTTCTATGTAAATGTAGTTCTTAACACCTGATTTATAAATTTTAACCACAAAATTTATTCCTAATGGTTTGCAAGTTGTTTCGACAATAGGTAGTCAAAACTGTGTAGCAGGTGAACTATTTCTAATTTCACAACTGAACTCAATGGAGACGTTATTCTCAAAAAAAGTGTAAATAAAACCAAATAGTTTAGAATTTTCATTTATCAGCTAACATAAGATTGAGCTAACCATTTCACCAACTAGTCTAACACCTTTTATATTCAGAGTTTACAAAGGTTCTAGCAGATAGGGGAAAAGTTGGTTGATTATTCTCTAAACCCTAAACTAAAATAAAACTGAATAGAGAAAGGAACACAATAGAAAAAATGCAAATGTCTTCCCACACTATCTAAATGTTGCACATGTTTTAAGATGCAATCTGTATTTTGTGAATAAACTGAGTTGCCTCAACATGTGCAATGTTTGTTTTCATGCCAGATGGCTCATATACTAATTTTAGTAGGAAAAATTGCAAAATTCATAGTTCACTGAGGTTCTACCCCAGAGCAGCAATACCCTACTCATTTTAAAGCTCAACGATGACCTCAAGAGATCTGATACTTAACAAAATGATGAAAGGAACAGTATGCCAAATGAATTGTAAATAACAAACCTTGGTTGGTCTATAAATTTATAGGTATTATGAAACCTCACCTTATGTGTGTATATTGAATAATAAATCTCACCTGTCAAAACTCTGCACACCCTTGCTATGGCAAATAAGGAGAAAATCTAAGAGGAGAGCAGAAGATGGAAAGGAAGGGAGAAAAAAGCTACATCAAAAATATATTAGAAACAAATGAAAGAGTAAAGTATAATATTTCTTCATCATTTCTATCTTTAAGGGAGTGGCATAAAAGAAAATAAAATGTGGAGTCAAAAAGCCTAGTTTCAAAACTGTATGTATAATAATTACTGGGTAAAGTTAAATATGTTATCTAACTTCTTTGAGCTACAATTTCTTCATTTGTAAATCCTTACTTGAAGAATTTATAAAGACTCCACATTTCTAAATATATCAACAAGCCCTTTCTGTGAGGCCTATATGTTTTGCTTTGTTTTGTTTCTGCCACAGGGAATATACATTCTAAAGCTGGAAATGAATATTCAACACTAGTGTTACGTGTATATAAACAAATGAGTTTGATGTATTCCGGCTCTTGGCCTGAGGAAGGGCAGCAATTCACTCTGATCAGTTTTGTACCTCACTTGCTATGGTCAGGCAAAAAAGAGTGGGGAGGGCAGCAGTCAAATAATCAAAGCAATAACTCAAATTTGGAAATGTGGCAATGTTGAGAGATGATTAAAAGCATATACATTGATTAACAGCATGATTCTAAGAAGTGAAACCACGCATTAAAGAGACTAATATAGCCTTACATATTAAATTTTTTATGTTGGAGGTAAAAAGTAGCCTTATATTAGCATATGTATTATGTTTTTAGGCCCTTGAGAACAAGGAGGTTTATTTATAAAATCTCCATTTCAATAAATTATGTATGAATTTTAATCAGTTCACAAATGAATAAGTAATTGTTTTGCAGCAATATTAATATTCTTCATAACTTAATACATTACCAGATCTAGAGGTGTGGTATGAATAAATCCCAAATGTACGATAGGTATTAACTGAAGCATGCAATCCCCAAAATATAAGATAAACTTTGCCCATGTTACCAATTAACTTTCAACTAATGACTTACGTTCATTACTCCAGAAATGAACCTATTATAGAACCCCAATTATATATTCAAACTGCTATATTTGCTTTTATATTTCAAATAATTTTTAAGTGTCCTGAAATCCAATAAATCATAATGAAAGTATATTCTCATCCACTTATTCCTATTATAATGCTATTTTACAAACATATGTCACTTATTAAAATTCAATTAACTAATAAAATACAAAATCAGAAATAGAAGCCACTTATCAAGAAAAAGTCAGTAACAAAGTGAACGTCAAGCCAAATAACATTTCCGCATTCATCTTTTGAAACAGATGAACAAAATACCTTTCAATCCTATCTCCTTTCTAGTTGCTTATTTGTCATTGAGGCCTTGACATAAAGAATCCTAAGATTAACCCTTCCACTATAGAAGCAAGCAGTGATACTACATTAGTCTTCTATGGCTGCTGTAACAAATTACCACAAACTTGGTGGCTTAAAACGACAGAAATTCTCTCACAGTTCTAAGAAGCCAAAAATTTGAAATCAGTATTGCTTGGTCAAAATCAAGGTGTCAGAAGGCCATACTTCCTTTAAACAGCCTGGGAAAAAATCAGTTCCTTACCCTTTCTAACATCTAGTGGCTGCTGGTATTCCTTGTCTTCTAGGCATATCCCTCCAATCCCTGTCTTATTGCTCACGTTGCTTTCTCTTCTCCTGTCTGGAGTCAACTGTCCCCCTGCCATCCACTTCTATGGATACTTGTGATTGTATCTGGGGCCCCCCTGGATAATCCAGGATACTCTCCCCCTTTCACTATCTTTAACTTAATCACATCTGCAAACTTCACGGTTGCACATAAGGTAACATTCACAGGTTCCAAAGATTAGGACATGATATATTTGGGGCACATTTTTCAGCCTCCCACTAACATAGACCATGATTCTCATCCTTCTTCCTAGGAGATATCTCAGCTCCACTTTTTCTCAAGTTGGTAGGAAGCTTATGAGCAGAAAATACTTCCCCTTTTGAAAAGTTTCTGAGCTAGGTTAGAGCAGTAGAAATACAGAAGAGCCAGTAATTTAGCTATATATTCTTTGTTTTATTTGTTGTAAAAGGAAATGATAGAAATGATGAAAACTCTTACATAAAATGGCTACAGGAGTAGATGCTCCCTTACCATATCCAAATTCCTGCAAAATTCAACATTAGAATGTTTGCCTTGGAGATAGGATTACTTTTCTTATTTGCTACCATTTGTTTATTTAAATGAAAGAATTGCTTCAAAGTCAATTCTATTCTATTTCTGTATCATTCCCCTTGCTGAATTTTGATCCAGTTCTGGTTCCTGTTAAATAAGAAATTTACTAATTTTGTTCCCTATCACCTACTAGATGCTCAAGTAAAG